AAAAAAAAAAAAAACACACACACACACACACAAACACATCTTTTCTTGGGGTTTTAACTTTAGCATCATCTTAAACAACTTGTTTTATCTTTAAATTAGTTTTAAGTTCCATTATTAGAATGGATCATAGTGGAACTATATGCCTCTGTTGTGGTCCTGTCAATAACCTGTTAAAGGAAATGAATTCCACTCGATCTCTTTTGATCAGTAGGCAGACGTGTGATTTTGCCTATTACACTGAATCAATAAACAGCTCAAGGCCAGATACATAAAACTTTCTTAAAGGAGACATATTATGCCCCTTTTTACAATATGTAATATAAGTCTCTGGTGTCCCCAGAATGTGTCTGTGAAGTTTCAGCTCATAATACTCCACAGATCATTTATTATATCATTTTGAAAATGCCTATTTTGAGTGGAAATAGTTTTAAATGCAAATGAGCTGCTGCTCCCCGCCCCTTTTCCAGAATAGAGCTGCGCCATTACAGCTCGTACCTGCTAAAACATCTGTTTTGGTTCTGATTATCATGTTTATCGCGCTGAAATCATGCGTTTTAAACCATATGTGTTTAAACTTCTGAAATACCGTTTTCTGTGTGCACATCCGAAGCGCACGGACAGAAAGCGGCTGTCACAGCATGTGAGTACTAAACTAAGTTCTCATTCACACACAAGTTTACGTTAAAAACACACATGAGTTACAAAAAACAGTTGGTTATGTCTGTGAAGGTAAACTGCTGGGAAATAAATCGCATGTTTATTTTAGATCTGTGTAACAACAGCAAACAGTAAATAAAAAAAAGAGGAAAAAGGCTTACCAAAACAAAGTTACTGGGTTAATCTTTTTCACGTTTTCCTTGGTTGGTAGATGCACCGGGGACCTGATTATAGCACTTAAAACCTGGAAAAGTCAGATTTTCATGATATGTCACATTTAACTGACACAGTATTAGGGTGACCAGACGTCCCGTTTTTTGTATTATTTTGTATTTTGTATTGTCCCGTATTTCAAAATGTCTTTACGACTGGGTGATCAGAGCGAGTAGTAGTGTTCTTCTATGCCAAAACAGCCTAATTAAAGGTAACCAAGCTCGTCATAGAACAAAATTACCATCCAATCACAATTCGTTATCAATTATCTTGCAGTTAACTTGAGCTAAATGACACACCAGAAGCGCTCTCTCGGCCGCGTGTGCGCAATCCCACTTCTATAAGACAGTGCGCGCGATCAGTTCACCTTGTGCCTGCATTGTCTAATTGAGTTGTCAAATGCACACACAGTTGTCAATATGTTCATTGTGTGGTGTGAAGTTTCTCACATAAATACAGTGTCTGCTGTGACTTAAGTAAACATAAAGAGTTGGGTGAAAACCATATATGTGCAGGGTTGGCAGGTTTTCACAACACAATCTGCCCAATTGCTACTCAAAACTAGCCGAATCGCATTTCGGGGAGAGGTACCACGCTAAAAATCGCATTCCGGGGGGTAAAATACACGTTTTTTGGCCGGATTCCCCAGTAAATGTCGCATTCCAGGGGCTAATTATCATGTTATTGTGGTCGCTTCAGCCCGCGGACATGAAAAACAACCCACGGCAACAGTGTTAAAGTAGCCCAGTTCCGCGAGAAATACACAGACCTGGCAACACTGGATATGTGTCAATATAATTACAATCCGTCCATTCGGTTTTAAAGGGACAGCAGCCTAATTAAACACAAGTCTGTCATTAATGTTAATCAAACAAACAAACAAAAAAAAGCTAAATAAATGTATACATGTTAAACAAACTGTAGGCCTATTTGAAAAACGAGGTAATTTAATCTGTATCTCCATCTTATATGTCTTAAGGTTTGTAATTTGCTTCTTTGTTATTTTTTATATATATATAGGCCTAAATATCGGGAAATAAAACTTCTCACATTGTGGTCATATTGCCCACCCCTTGCCCACCTGTCCCGTATTCCTAGGCCTAAATATCGGGAAATAAAACTTCTCATATTGTGGTCATATTGCCCACCCCTTGCCCACCTGTCCCGTATTCCACCATGAGAAATCTGGTCACCCTACGTTCCTACCTTCATCAATAATGGATATAAATGGACAGCATCAAATAAGATCTCAGACTTCAGCAGGCATTCGGCCTCCAACAAAGAGTATAGGCAACAGCAGGTGGAAAATCCAAATCAAAACGTGGTTCCCTTGAAGCTGGTGCTAGAGGAAACTCTATTTATAATGTAGGTGTGTGTCAAAGAGATTTAAGAGATTGTAGATAAAACACTCT